TCATAAATTAGTCGCATAGCTTGACACTTTCCTGCGCTGATTTGGCTCATTCAGGGTTTTGTCCCATAACATACCTTTTCACAATTGGCAAGAATGTGCTGTGAGTAAAGCCAGCTCCTGATTAAGCTGCGCAGTTTAAGGAATGATTTTCAAATTACAGAGCTCATTTAGAGCTTTGATGCTATTGGGACTGCTGATATTAGGGTCATACCTTTGGCATCATTAAGCCCTAGGAGGTTGGAAACCATGGTCATGATTTCCGTTATGTTCCCCCCCCCGTCTCATTGTGATTTTTTTAAAAATGCCAGTAATGTAAAGAAAATCATGTCAGATTTCTTCTAAATTTCTCACTGACTAGTTAGCAATAAAACTTTCAAATTAAGGCCAGTTATTCCTATATAAATATGATATAGGAATATGCTGTTTTTGCACAGTTGCTGTCAAATTTAGGCTTCAGCCAAGGCTAGCTCTGTCATAAGTTGAAGTGAGGCAGTCACTTCAGAGCAATGTCATTGTGGGAGCAGAACTGGCATTGCCACACACTGTTCACTTCTTGAAACCCACATGATGCCTGGCTCCACAGTGGTTATTAGGGCCAAGGCATTGTGGGAACGGGCCAAATGGCTGCCCCTGCTACAGTGCTTTGTCTCTGAGCTTTCCTCAGAGTTAGCCACTGTAAACAGGTGGATAAGAAGTGGCTGGGCTATAGAAATGGCATGAAGGAGCAAGGATTCTCCACCCTCCACACCTGACCATTTGATGTTGCTTTAGAAGTGGGTCACCATGCAGTGGGAAATTGTGTTTCTTCTTACCTTGGTTGATGGGACAGCTTGTGATTCCAGCATTTGTAAAACATTAAGTGATAGCATTTCTTCCTTCATTCTTATTATAGATGATATTAGTACTATCAGAGCCAGTTGCGGCACTTAATTGTTTCTTGTGAAGGAAAGAAGGAAAATGTTTCTATGTTTAAGAATCTGGAAGGCTTGTTTGCAAACTCTTCTTTCAAGAGGACACTCAGGTTGCTGAAACTGGTCAGCAGCAGTCCCTATCTTTTTAAGTCCTCTCAAACAGTGAAGAAAGACTATAAAGAGGAAATAGTTACTTGCTGTTTGTAGATGCTGGTGCAAGTGGAAAGTTAGAAAAACATCTAAGGGAACCTGATTCTAAAGTCTTTTTTCCGTTTTGCTTATAACATCTAGTGCAATATGAGCTGTCAGTCCTGGTGCAGCAGGCTGAGAGGAAGATATCCCAGAACACTGCCCTCCTTTAATCAATCCTCTTTCTCTAATCCCTTTACAAAGGGGAGCGACATTGCGAAGCCTGGCTGTTGCAAGCAGCTGTAAATGAGGCGCCTGAATTTCTTGTACAGTTCCCAAGCTATCCTTTTTCTCTTAAGTCCCAATACGTCTCTGTGTTTGGTGTGATATGTTCTCCAGGATGGCAGTAAATACTTCATGACCTCTGTCCACACGTGAAGCATCTTTCTCAAACAATGTGTATAGCTGTGCATATGCATCTTCATAAAGTTGAGATAGATGTAGACCTACTGACATGGTGAAGTTTTAAAGAACGCAGATATTACTTGTGATTCGAAGAGTTTTCTGAATGAAGATGTTGGAACGGTAGTGTGTACAAAGAAACAGTTTCAGTGATGTCTTGTAAAGGTCACACATTTTAAGACTTCACGAGTGAGAGATAACACTTCATTGGTTTCATGAAGCAGGTGGAGAAAATGCTGGGTTAACAACCTATTGGCTGAAGCCATGAATAGTGTGTGTTGCATGGAAAATGCAGGTGGGAATAAACTTTCCATTATTTTCTTCCCTGTGTCTCTGAATCAAAGCAGGTGCTATTGTTAGCACATCACCGGAAAAAAACCCACAGTGTTGCATCTATGAAGTCTTCTCCCAGTATTGTGTCTGACCATTTAGAATATACAGTAAACAAAGAGATCTTCCAGAGGGACATGTTGTACCACCTTGTCCTTCTTCCTCTTTATTGCTTCATTTTGAAAAAGCATGGGGTTTACTAGGATTCATGACCAAATACTTTTGTGCCATTAAATGGCGTCAGCATAAATTGCATTTGCTGGGACAGATGGCCTGTAGCTGAGGAAGGTTGATGAAAGGAAGATGTAGTGGCAATACCTATGCCTTGATTGAGGCAAAAACTAGATTTCCAAAGTGAGAAGAATGAGAGAATGGCAGTGGTGGTATGCTGGTTCCGCCTCCCTCCCCATCTGCAATGACTAGAACAATCAAACATCCAGCATCTGTCAAAGCACTTTTTTGCGCTCATCTGCAGCTTAGCAGGGAGCAAGTGAATGGGCATGAATCCTAAGGTGACTTTTGCAAGTTCTGTCTGGTGTGTGTGCAGTGAATCACTTCCTTCTCTCCACCTCCATTCTTGCTTTGTTCTTAATTGGTGGAAGTTAAATTACCTTTTATATTGACCTTAGATCTTGTCTGCCTCAGAAGTGTCTCAGTGCTAAACTCCTCCTACCAATGTAAAGCAATAAAAAAATAAGCCAAAGGTTTTAGAAGGGACGGAAAAGGGTCTGCAAATCTATTAAAAAGAGTGGTACAAAGGAAGATAAGATTAATGTTAACTTGATGCTGGGGTAGGTGGTACAGAGGAAGAAAAGATTAATGTTAACTTGATGCTGGGGTAGCTTCCATTAGGACTGGTCTTAATAAAGAAGTTAAAATGGTAGAAGCTTTCATTTTGGAAGAGCACTCCCTATACTGTTGTGTATCTTTTGGTGACCATCACAGAACAGTTCTAACATTATACAGTTAGATTTTTATTGCATGCAGGTTGGTTTTTTCTCCACATACACACCTGCCCCAACCTTTTACAGTTTCTCTTGCTCCTATGTTGTTGTAGATATGGTAGACTTCTTAACAAGCAAACAGTCAAAAATAGTGTGGCAGAAGTGCTGTGCATAGAAATATGTTGAAGAAAACTATTGGAATGTGCATCTTCCAAGGTTCCATGGGTGTTGAAGGCCACACAGCCCCAATAGCACCAGATTTTATCCCCCCCCCAGTTTATAAATTGTACAGCTTCTAAAAAAATACTTTTTAACAGGTTCTGGGGAGTGGCTTACCATTTGAATAGCAATTTTTAAGAGGGTCTGGGGAGGCCTGATGGCTGCGTGTGGTCTGTAGGCTTCCCTGCCACAGATGCTGGTGTCTGTGATGAGAAGGGGCTCTGGAAGACATATTTTTTTATTATCTATTTCTTATCCATGTACATCTTTTGCTTTCCTGCCCATCGTATTGTATTCATTTTTTAATATGTTGTTCTGAAATTTCTCTAAAGTGTTTGTAGCTCTGACCTAAAAATTTTGGTTTTGTAGGGTCTGTGTATATGACCAACTTACAATAGGATAGTTTTCTGTTATGTGATTGGCTGGACTACCACAAACACAGTATGCTTGTGTTGTCTTACCTGCTTCTCCCATGCTGTCTTAGTTATTATTCATCTAATTTGAATGATTGACAAACTTTAATTTTCTTGATACCTGCCCCTCAAAAAGTTTTGGTATCTGGAGAATTTTACTGAGAAACTATTATATTTTCTCTGAAGTCGTACATGTAGAAACCAATATAAAGAGCACTATTATAAATATGAGTAAATGTTTAGGAACAAAATAAATGATCTGCTTCTGAAAACAAGTGCCGTATTTTTCGCTCCATAAGACGCACCTTTCCATAAGACGCACCAATTTTTTAGGAGAAGAAAACAGGAAAATATAATCTGTTTTCTTCGCTCCATAAAACGCACAGACTTTCCACCCCCCTGTTTTGTGGGGGAAAAAGTGCGTCTTATGGTGCGAAAAATACGGGTAGTTATTAAACAGAGAAAAATACCGTGACAATCCATAGGTAAAACTAGTAACTCACAGTGCGACCACATTGGCTAAAAATGTGGAAATGCTGCAAGATAGGAACAAACTGATTCACTTTATCCCCCGATGACCATGTGACATAAAAGTTAGTACAAACCAGCCTGGAGTTCCACTCCTATCCTTAGTTTTTACTTTCAGTGCTGGGGCTTCTACATTTTTTTACCATTGGATCCATTCACATCAGTTCAGACAGTGTGATTGTTTAAATGGATGCAGAAAAGTGTGGTGGCTGGGCAGTGGGGGAGGGGATAAAGATCCAGCCCAGAATCTTTGCCATTTCTTTTTTTAAAAAATCATCTTGCTACCAGTACTCTGACCTTTCCAGGACCATACTCATCCCAAATGCCCCCCATACTCATCCCAAATGATCAACTCTGTTCTTGTACAGCTATCACTGCCACCACATCTTGGCCCTTTTTCTTTCCAGTGCAGGGCTCCAAAGGAAAGGAAATCTTGTGGTTGGTACAGTGGCATAGTGGCTGGGTGAGCTGAATCTTTGCAAATTCTGTCTGTCTGTCTGTCTGTCTGTCTCTGTCTCTGTCTGTCTGTCTTCTTTCCTTCCTTCCTTCCCCCCTCAGCTTGGTTCTAATTCAGGACACCTATACACCAACGAGAGACAAGAGAGATAACAAGAGGAGGAAATGGACATTCTACCTTGTTTTTGACTTATTAAGTAGTTGTTCTTATTTAGCTGTGCTGCTGCAGGACTACAGAAGATCTATGTTAACAAGTTGCAAACAAAGCTATTCAGCCAATTTCCCCTCTCCCTGTGTGGCTGGTTATTTTAACCACACCAGGGAAGAAATTTTAATTCCCTGGTGTGATTTCATGCATTTCTCTTGCTATATACAGTAGTTGTATTCACAGAAACATGATGTAATAACTAGGGCTGAAGCAGCTGTCACCCAGTTTAAAATCAGTCACAATGATCTGTATTACATTCTTAATAAATCTTGATACCAGTTTCACCCAAGATCTGTTAATTTATACTTATGCTGTTGGCTTAAGTTGTTATAAATACCATTAAGTCATCTCTAGATGACATAATGGTACATATATGTATTTACTGTGTGTTTTCTTCCAGAGCTTTATGGATTTGATGTCCTCATTGATTCTACACTTAAGCCTTGGCTGCTGGAGGTGAATTTGTCTCCTTCCCTGGCCTGGTAAGAAATTCTTGGGAAAGGTGTGGTTTGAAATAACTGTAATCTAGCTGTAGCCTTTATGTATACAATTTAGTAAATTGACCTTTTATAGCAGGAATAGGCAGCCCTAATCTGTTATATATTTTTAACTGTAATTCCCATTAGCCCTAGCCGCCACAGTCAGCACTGAGGGATTATAGGAGTTAGCCCAAAAAGATCTAGAGAGCCATATTTTCCTACCTTTGTTTTAAAGGAAAATGTGCATGAATCTTTCCCCCTTTCCAGGGCACTAAACTGCATTTTTTAGTGGTCCCCTGTTGACATTTCCATTGAGGAGAGATCCTTGTCTCTGGAGACTAGAAGATTCTGTTGAGCTCCTTGGCATTTAACCTTGTTGCTTTTTAAAAATATTTGATCTTTCAGGACTCTCTCCCCGTCTGTTCTGCCAAAGATACAGATGGGACCATACACTGATGAGGAACAATGGGTTTTTTTTTGGGGGGTTGGAGTGGGTGTGTCTTCTCATGGTATCACAAGTAGTTGCTATTTACAATCTCTTCCCTCATCTCCTGGTGTGCCACGTCCCCTTGACTAGGTTTGCAGGAGACAGAATTGAGAGAGGGCTAACTGAGCAGTGGAAACTAGAGGGTCCTTTTTTCACTTTCATATTCTTCTGTTAGGAACAAGCAGGGCTGCTTTGATCATGGCAGTAGCTAATTTGAAACTCTGCAACTCCTCTTCATCTTAGTCTCTTTCTATGACTCTCAGACAACCTTTTGTTTCTAGGCAAGGCCTGGGTGAAGGATCAGGGCCATTTTGTAGCAACATTATTTTCCGGACATTCGAACAGAAATGGTGCAGATAGCACACTCCAGTTTTTTTCTCCAGTTGCATCTGAGAGATTATTATTCTCCAAAAGAAGTGGATTCAACTGATTGTTTCCCCTAAATTTTCTGTGAAGTGGTTGAGCTGTCCACCAATGTCTCCCCTGGAGCCCTTCAAGCTTAAGGCCATTGATTTTTTAAAGATGTATGTGAAGAGGTAGATTCTTAAATGCTTGATGTTGTACGATCTTGGCCTACTCTTGGAGGATTTAAAGAAATTTTGTGTACTTGGACAAAGCCTTTTGTAGTTATTCTTCTTTGTATTTTTTTTCCACACTTAAGCATCCCTTGGCCTCTTGACAGCAAGCAGTAGCAATATAATATTTTTATGGAATGAGCTTCTGTTTTGTTAACTGTAGCACAGGAATCAAATAAAATACAACCTTTGTCACAAAGAACACCAATCCTAGAATATTGGGATTCAGTCAGATGTTAGGCAAAAGGGAATCCTGGACTCAAATTACTTTATGTCTAAATATTCTGAGGAAGGAAAATGTTAATAAAACTGAGGTGTCTTCTTTACAGGAGTTACATTTCCTTGAATTATCCCAAAGTGATGTGGACTAAGTTAATTAATGCAGTGGGTCAGTGATTTGTTTTGTTTCTCTCTTCTCATGTTGGATAGTGATGCTCCTTTGGACCTGAAGATTAAAGCTAGTATGATCTCAGACATGTTCACACTTGTAGGTGAGTTGCATGCCAATTCTAGTCCAGTATTTTAGTGGCTTAAGTGATAATAATGGGTTAAGAGCGGGTATGTTCTTTTTGCAAGGATGGAGGGAGTAGGTGCATGACTGTGTGATACATTGGAATGCAGTGTGGTAATAGACGCTTCAGAACTTTTTTTAATGGGAGGCTATATAATAGCTGATTGATACGCATGCATTGACAAGCAAAGTTATATAGTATGAACAAGACATTGAAAGGTATGTAGGTATAAATTCGAGGGTGGGTTTGTTCTGGAGCTGATGTCTGTGTGATGCTCTGACACTGGGGATTCCAGATTAGATCCGTTAGCATGTATCTGATTTTCTTCTTATTTTATTGGAAATCTTGTTAGAAAAATAAAATAAAACCTTGTCAAAGCACCACAAAGCATCACAGGTACCAGCCTACCAAAACATCCCCACAAGCTCTATATCTTGCTCACCACCACTCATGCCTTATTCTTGGTGTGTATCTTACTAATCCAGTGCTTCTTACAAATTTGTTTGAATTTCATACATACTGAAAAACAACACAAGCAGGGTATGTTCATTCTGTCTAGTAGCAAAAAACATTCTGTTACTTGGTTCCTAAAGTTAAAAAGTGATTTGGGATAGCATCCATGGCAGCCAATCTGAGGAAGTTCCTTTGATGGAATAGTTTTGCTTTCAAGGCTATCAATGCAGAGTTAACCAAACTATCTTCAAATTGAATGTTTTTATATAGACTGTTTTTTCCCTCTCTCTCTCAGGATTTGTCTGTCAGGATCCAGGTCAGCGGTTAAGCAGGACATCTTATTATTCCTCTGAGGCAAAGCGGAATCCTTACCAGAAACCTCAAGTAAGGGAGAAATCAAGAAAGTAGCTTAAAGATTAAAATAATTCTTCTTTGCTGGTATACTGAGTTGTCTTCTCTGACAAACTCTTAATTTTGAGGATAAATCTTCTTGTGTGTTGGTACTACTTCATCATGGATGGCTTCTGCACTGCTGAAAAATAAATAGCTCACTAGATGGTTAAAAACTTGGTAAACTTCTGACGTTGTTATTGTTTTTGTTTATAGAATGCCATCAGCAGTCATAGTGTTTTAGAGTACAAGTGGGCAAGTCTTGCCCCAAAGATCTAACAATTAAAGAATTGGCAGAGGAAAACAGGAAGAGTAGGGAGTGAAGACACAGTCCAGTGGCCACATTTTCTTATATGAGCATGTCCAGGTCTTAGAATCCTCAAGAGAGGCCTTTCTTTGTCGTACCACCCTCACAGGCATATTTGGTGAGGACAAAGGAGAACTTTTTTCATGGCTGCTCCCAGGCTATGCAGAAATCCAAATCAAAGTATATTTGACAGATGGTTGTCTAATTTTCTCTTCAAAACCTCCAGTGTTGAAGTGCTCACCACCTCCCAAGGTAATTGGTTATACTGCTTTAACAATTAGGACGTTTTTCCTAATATTCAACTGAAATCTGGCTTTCTGTTACTAGAGCCCATTATTACATGTCCTGCATTCTGATACCAGTGAGAATAGATCCTGCCCTTCCTCTGTATGACAATGTTTGAAGTATTTGAAAAGTGCTATCATATCTCCCCTCAGTCATCTTTCTCAAGGTGAAACATGCCCAATTCTTTCCATTTTTCCTCAAAGGGCTTGGCTTACAGTTCCTTGATCATCTTTGTTGCCCTCCTCTGATTTTTTTGCAGCTTGTTGGCATCCTTCTTAAAATCTGATGTTCAGAACTGAACACAGTATGCAACATGAAGCCTAACCAGTGCTGAATAGAAGGGAACTGGGATTTGGGGACCAAATTTCTGTTAATGCAACTTAAAATAGCATTGGTCTTTTTGCAGCCAAATCACACTATTGATGTGGCTGCAACAATTCCAAGATCCTCCTTGCTCGTAGTTGCAACAATTCCAAGATCCTCCTTGCTCGTAGTATTACTGAGCCAAATATATTTCATCTTGTAACTGTGTGTTTGGTTCCCCCCATTTATCTTTTAACTGTGTGTTTGGTTTTTCCCCCTAGGTGTAGAACTTTGCACTTAGCCCTGTTAAATTTTATTTTGTTTTTTTCGACCTAGTACTCAGGCCTATCAAGATCTTTTTGAATTTTGTTTCTGTCTTCCAGGGTGTTAGTTATTCCACCTGTCATCCACAAATTTGATAAGTATTCCATGCACCCCCTCATCCAAGTTGTTAATAAAAACATTGAAGACCTCTGGGGCTGAGGACTGAGCTTTGTGGTACCCTACTTGTTACTCCTTCTCAATTTGAGAAAGAGCTACTGATAAAATCTCTCTGAGTACAATCCTGTAACTGACTCTGTATCCACCTGACAGTTGTTCTAGCCAACCTGCACCTAGTTAACTTACTAATCAGAATATTATGGAGCACTTTGTGAAGGGCTTTGCTGAAGTCAAGATATATTACATCTACAGCATTCCCACCATCAGGGAAGTTACCTGGTCAAAAAATAAGATAAAATAAGTCTTGTAGGTTTTGTTCTTGTCAAATCCATGATATTGCTGCACTGTTTTAAGATGCTTGCAGAGTGATCATTTTATAATCTGCTCCAGAATTTTCCCTGGGATTGATGTCAAGCTGACAGACCCATAGTTCCCTGGTTCTTCCTTTTGCCCTTTTTGATGATAGGAATAATGTTAGCCCTCCTCTAATCATCTGGCATCCTTTATCATTTCAAGAAAATAATGGACAGTGATTCTGAGAGTTTTGCAGCCAGTTCCTTCAATACTCTTGGATACAGTTCATCTGGTCCTGGAGAGTTGAACTTTTTTAAAGCAGTAAGGCACACCTTGACTGTTTATCAATCTTAAGATGCAATCCTGTCCCTTCTCTTAGTACTTCCCATTTGCCTGTAGGGTTGTAGATTGTCTTTTTGGAGAAGACCAAGCTGAAATAAGAATGCCTTGTCTTTGTCATCTATTATCATTTTTCTATCCCTATTGAGTAGTTCACCCGTGATTTCATTTCTTTGTCTTTAGTTACACATGTACAGTGGTGCCCCGCATAGCGACGTTAATCCGTTCCAGGATTAACATCGCTATCCGATTCGTCGCTATGCGGGGGGGGAATCCATAGGAACGCATTAAACTCCGTTTAATGCGTTCCTATTGGGGAAAAACTCACCGGTAAGCGAAGATTCCCCCATCCGGCCGCCATTTTCGCTGCCCGGTAAGCGAGGGCAGGGCGAGAAAACGCTGTGGGTGGCCATTTTCTGCACCCGGTGGCCATTTTGAAACCGCCGATCAGCTGTTTTCTAAACATCGCAATGCGATGTTTAGCTTACCTAAACATCGCAATATGATGTTTAGCTTATCTAAACATTGCAATACGATGTTTAGCTTATCTAAACATCGCAATGCGATCGCATTAGCGATCGCAAAAAATGCGTCGCTATGTGGATTCATCGTTAAACAGTGTGCTCGTTAAGTGAGGCACCACTGTATCTGAAGAATGCTTTTTCATTGTGTTCAGCATGCTAACAGCAGCTCATTCTCAGCTTTTGCCTTCCTGATGCCATCCCTGCAATTCTTTGCTAGTTTTCTGTACTCTTCCTTTGTGGACAGGCCTTACTTCTATTTCCTTTATGTGTCCTATTTATTTTAGATCCTCTGAGTTTTTTGTGAAGCTACTTCATCTTTTTTGCTGTCTTCCACCATTTTTTTTTTGGAAAGTATAATTCTGCCTTTTAGAATTTCCATTTTTGGAAACTTCCACCCATCTTGGACTCCAATATGTTAGGATCTCCTGCCATGGGACCTTACTTATCATTGACCTTAGTTTATTCCAAGTTGAAGTGGTTTAAATTGGTTTTAAATGGGTTTAAACTGTATTAATTGTATTAATTGTATATTTGTTAGTTAGTTACCATTTATATAATACTATTTTAAAATTTAATTTTTTTGTGTTTCAGCTGAATCTGAAATATATATTTTTAAATGTATATTTATAAACTTCCTTGTGTTGTTGAAGGGATAAAGCCAGAGTGTAATTTAAAAAAAAATAAGAGTAAACTGTGAAGCAGTATGTAGTTGTTTTAGTTGTGTATGCCTAGGCTTTTGTATGGGTTTGGTTCCAGTTGGCTATTGGAATAAGATGTAATACCTGTGTGCCTAAAATGAAAAAAAGGATATAGAAATATTGAATTGAAAGAAACTGTCTCTAGTTCAGAACTTTTTTTGTGCTCCCTGCTCTTTAAGGTACAGAATGAACCCAGCACCACAAACACAGTTGCTTATAATTTCTGTCTGCTTATCTACATTTTCAAGAAAATATGAAATTTCTGCTGTGGTTGCCATCTTTGCTGCTATCTAAGATGGCAACACATTTCTCCTGATAAAATGAGCATTGACGACCCCTAAAGATAATCATAATCCAATCCCCCAAAGTTAGCACTAAAAACAGGAATGAAGAGGACAGTAGACAGAGTGGCCAATATGAAATCTGCTGTATTTTATGAGTGAAATCACTGTTGTTGCCCAGAAGCGGCATATTCTATGAAGGGACAGATGGAATGGCACCTGTGACAAACTGCAAAACCCAAAGAAGTAAGATTAATTGGAGACCGTGGCAGATGTAAACCCAAAAGAGCTATGATAATTAAGAGAGGAAGTTCAAAAGTGATTGGCTAAAACGTTAGATAGATAGCAATATTAACAGTAATGCTTGCTAGCATAGATGAAACAGCAGATGAGACCCTAGAAATGAGCATTATGCAAGGAGATAATTTAATTCATCTGCGAGATATGACAACAGTGATAAAAGATGAACTTGAAGATTTGGATGTTCTGAAGCTCTGTGATGCAGGGAAACAAAAATATGAATCTTCCTGGACTTAACAACTGACATTAAAGAAGAGAAGAATTCTTAAGCCATATATAGAATGCATTATAGCAGCTGAGGTAATCTGTTCTTTTGGATTACCCCCTTCAGGTTGATCATACATCATAGTGGCAAAACTTTCATTGTATCTATGATTCAACAGCTGCAGGAAATCTGTGAAGCACTAGATATAGGCTTGCTGAAAGATGTGGAAAAGCAGGCAACAGAGAAAAAGGAGAAGAGTGCTTAAAGATGTAGGAAAAATATAGAAAATAGTAAAAGAGAAGAATAGAAATAGAGTGTGATTTTTCAGAGGCAAAGAAAAGTGAAAAGGTGGGGGGAATTATGAAAATACGCCATTACAATATCATTCTCAGTCAAAGTTATTATTACAGTAACGCACTACCACCCATTATTCATGCAGTTGTAAGTGTTTGGTCATTATCTATCTAGCTAAGTTAGTTAGCTTCTAGACCACCCAGTTTAGTGAAATAATACTCTGGGTGGTTTATATAATTAAGCAAAACATGCAATCTAAAGTAATAAAAGGATGCATAGATGATGCCACAAACAAATAAAAACAGGAAGGTGACCAAGGATTGCCACCTGGTGGCTTAGGTAATAACAGTTTAGTCATATGACTATATTGGTTTCTGTTGAAAACATGTAAACATTTAATTATGTATGGGTTAGATGGAACTTTCAAGTCAGGAGGAGCAAGATGATTCATTGGCTTTTTTGATGCCTAGGACAGTGGTCCCATGTGGTGGCTGCTAGAGATGGAAACCCTCCCTGTGTTTAGGAGCTCAAGTATTTTATATATTGTTTCAGAAGTTTAATATGATGCTGTTGCTAATATTTCTAAGGCATAGTGGAGGGGAAAAAGTGATACTATCACAAAACATGCAATATAGAGAATAATTATTAGAAAATGCAAAATATAGTATAGAATATAGAATGTTCTAGAATATATAACCATTATTTGCCAAAAGGGTGGCGGCATGGCATCGGAAGAAAGTATTAAGCTAATGTCAAACAAAATAAGATGAAAGAAATAAAGATTCTTTTATACAATGTATAAGTGTGTTGGGATCAGTTGGCAGAAAGTATAATGTTATAAAGGGAATTAAAAAGATAAGCGAGGAAAGAGTCATGCTACAAGAAACCATCATTTTCAAAAGTGGAGGAGAAATATTAAAACATAAAACATTGTGTAATTCTCCACTTATGGACATCTAAGGCAAGGGGTGGCAATTCTCCTATGAAGAATGTTCCTGGTGGTGGAAAATTGAACGGAGAAAGATTAACACAGGCTTAACAGAGTAAAAACGTTCTGAAGAATCTACCCAGATTGGAATATCTTATTCTACATTAGATATTTAGGTGTAAACAATGTGAAGCAAACACAACTAATACCAAGATGTTAGAAAAATCACAAGAAAGTGGTGGATCAATCCAATACTGAAAGAGGAGGGTGAATTAAAACTTTTCATGTTAAGATGCATAAGGACAATTAAGACACACATTTTGTGAAAAACAACTTTTTTATTTTAAACAATTCCACTTAATCCAGAGCACAGTAAATTAAAACGATGGTAAGAACTATTAAACAAATTTATCATGAGGCAAGAAAAGTATGCCTTCTTAATCTATTTTGTATAGGAAAGGAATCAAGAGAGGACTGTCAATATTTGATATGAGATATTGCATCATACCTTTCAAAATGCACCAGTTAATTAAGCTAATTAAAAATAACAATAAGGCACAATGGGTGGGGATAGAAACAAAAGATCCAAAATCAAGAGAGAAGAGAGCCTGTGCAAGGCAAACATGAATAATAAAATGCTTCTCAGATTAAACGACCTATTTCTAACTATACTGCTAGAAGAAGGGAAACAGTGGAGTCAGTTTTTCATGCCCACCTCCTTCCCAAAAGGGCCAATATTGGATCACAATAGTAGTGAAATATATAAAACCATGCCTCTAAAAAGCTGCAAAAAGTGCCCACCTCCTTCCCAATAGGGCCAATATTGGATCACAATAAATGTAGTGAAATATGTAAAACCATGCCTCTAAAAAGCTGCAAAAAGAAAAAGAAAAATATCTACAGAATAAAATATTTTTTAGCAGGGGGTCTCCCCAGTAAAAGAACAACTGATCTCCAGATTAGCTCATAATAGACCTAACTGGCTGTAAATATATACAATTTATTCACCAGCACAGACATTAATAAAAAGTGAAGTAATACCACTCTGCCTTACAAAATTTTAGGCATTCTTCACATATGTAAAAACAACAACAAAGAACAAATATTTCAAATATACAATTGGATAATAGATGTGATATACACAGGAATTCAAGAATCCAAATTAGTTGAGAAACAGAACAGTGGGAGAAAATTTGGGCAACACCTTCATATAAAACTATCTCAGTACAAATTAAAAGAAATACCTTGATAACCATTCAGAGATGACACTAAAGCCCAATAAGGTTGTCTAAAATGAATGCCCAGATTTTTACCCACATGCTAGAGAGGGTGTGGAAAGAGAGGTACCCTTACTCACCTACTTTATGGTGGGAATTTCCAAAGGTGAAAGATATCTGAAGGAAAAGGGATCCCAAATCTCATAAATAATAAGTCAAAACTGAGCCTTGTGTAGCTTTGTAGATGTTATTTATTTGTATTGGTCCAAATGGATAACTGTTAAAGATCTAATTTCATAGTGACTAATCTGTGTATTATGGAGAATACTGGAGGGACTGACAAGAGAAAACTGGGTCAAAAGAATGTGGCGGGTAGTGCTTGCTGGAAAAACTACCACATACCTTCCAGGTATCCAAGGCAGCAGCTTGACTGGACAATTTTTTGCAACACGGAATCCTTTTATTTATTTTTTAACTGAATCTACAGGAAAATTCTGGCCAGCAGGACACAATATGAAATTCTGGCAAGATAGGCTGTAAATTGAACCTAGAATATTGCTCTAAATAGTATATGTTGACAGTGAAATAATGGCAAAGCCAACATCAGCATCTGCACAGATCTTCTGTAAGCAATAAACTTGATGTCAAAAATATACAGTATTTCCATGTTTGTTTGTACATCTTGTATTGTTTTAAAAAATTGCTTTATGTTGATGTTGAGAGAGAGAGAAAGAGAGAACTGAAATGTGTCCCTTTTCTTGAGAATGAATATGATACTTAGCCTGAATTAAATCACAACTCCTTTTGTTAGTATACATCTGCTGGAGACATATCTGCTTCCAGAAGCTGCTACTATGAAGTGAAATAAGTTCTTAGTTTTAAACATTTTCTTCATTATGATTTGCTCAGGATGAATGTGAACCTTTAATGTCTTGAATATACATTTAGGAAGTTGTACATATGACACTGGGAACTGAATTTTTTACACCGATAAGAAACAAATGCCTTGTGCAATGCTACACATGGAGAAATGAGGGCAGTGTTTATTGTTTATTCTTTTTATCTTTCTTCTAGCGTCCTGTCTCTGCACAATCTCGATCATCAAATGCCAAATTGGTAGGTAATAACTATAAACTTTATGCTGTGTTATCTATATAACTAAATGATTAAATTTTATATTGATTGTAACTTAGTGTATTCCAAAAAAATAATATAAGAACATAAGAAGAACTCTGTTGGATCAGGCCATAGGCCCGTCTAGTCCAGCTTCCTGTATCTCACAGTGGCCCCACCAGATGCCTCTGGGAGCACATGATACAACTAGATACCTGTCTCCTGATACCCCTGCCTTGCATCTGGCATGTTGAGGTACCTTCCTTTTGAGATTATGTATCCCCATCGTGGCTTGTAAGCTGAGATGGACTTTTCCTCCAGAAATCTGTATTTTCCTCCAGAAATCTGCCTAATCGCCTTTCAAAGGCATCTAGGCCAGATGCCATCATCATTTCCTGTGGCACGGGGTTCCACAGACTAGCAACATGCTGGAGAAATAAATATTTTCTTTTGTCTGTTCTCACTCTCCCATCACTCAATCTGAGTGGTTGTCCCCTGGTTCTAGTATTGCATGAGAGGGAAAAGAGCTTTCCTCTATCCACACAATTAATCCCCTGCATAATTTTATATGTCTCAGTCATGTCCCCTTTCATGCTCCTTTTCTCTATACTAAAAAGCCCCAAACCTGTAGCCTTTCCTCATAAGGGAGGTGCCCCTGCCCAGTCATCATTTTAGTCACTTTCTTCTGCACCTTTTTCAGTTCCACTATGTCTATTATGAATAATTTAATCACATTGATGTGATTAGTGGTGCATTTAAAATAATAATTAGTCATGTGCAGGCAAGTCAATTCTGACTTATGATTACCCCTTTCTGGGTTTTCCAGGTTGAGAATGCTTAGAAGTGGTTTACCATTCTCTTGGGAAGATCCTGGGACTGTGCAACTTGTCAAAGGCCAAACAGGCTGGCTCTTTTCCCAAGAGGCACAGTGAGGAATTGAACTCCCAACCTTTGGCTCCCTAGCCAGATACCTAAACCATTGAGCTATCCAGCCAATGAGTGTACCATTTACATCAGCAGTGTTTTCTGAGACTGACACAAATGGTTGTACGAACACAGTGAAGAGAAAGGAATATTTAGTCTGTTCCAAATGGCCACTAAACGTCCTTCAGGCTTTAATCTAATTGTGTCCTTAGTTGAGATGGGCATGAACCTTGGTTTGGACATTCATGCTGGTTCGTTGGACCAGCACCACAAATGCCATATGTTCCCTTCCCCTCCCCCCGCCCAGATCCCCCAGTCACCAGCTGGCATGCAGTGCTCTTCTCCTCCTCTTCAGGCACTTGACCAGTTCCAGAAGGAGAGCATGCTTCCCTCCTCTGGCAGCCGCCCACTCAAAGGCAGTGCTGCACGAATTCCTGCCCTGCCCCCTCATCTGACTGGGTGGCTGCTGGAGGAGGGAAACATGCACTCTTGCCAGGACTGGTTGAATGCCTGAAGAGGAGGAGAAGAGCAGCGTGTGTTCGCTGGTGAGTGGGTGATCCGGCTTGGGAAGTGGGAGAAGGGAATGCATGGCATCTGTGGTGCCAGTCTGATGAACCAGCACAAACCTCTGAACTGAGCTTTGTACCCATTTCTAGTCATTATCATCAGAGCTATTTGTACTAGTTCTTTGTACCCATCTCTAGTCATTGTCATCAGAGCTATTTGTACTAGTTCTTTGTTCTTCCCCAATAGCTGATTGAGTGCTTTCTGACTTGGGAGTCTCACCTTCCAGCACTAGCTAGTATTTCACTGTCTCATCATAGGGTTTTCATGATAAGGAAATTTCAGTACAGAATCTTCATTCCCAGCTTCTGTGCAGTACTAACAAAAGTTATCTTAAGTGCTATTGCCTTTGCCTCCTTTGCCAGTGTCACCTTCTGCAGCTGCTGCCCAGTAGCTGCCACCCCCACTATAGGAACTATCCATTATGTAACTGTTGACCATTGAAGAGGGTCAATGCATTTTAGTCTGGTATCTCAACTGTGACCATTCTGCCTTTGGTGATCCTGCTAAGAGTCCAGGCTTCTAATGGAGTCTGGCCTCCTGATAGCATTGCTCTCAGTTTCATTGACACATATAAAATCTTCACCATGTTAAACTGTTCATCTAAGAAGCTCCCCAACCTCCAGAGGAAAGTTAAAACAAAGATTCCATTGCAAATACGATAATAATGTTAAAAGAATGTGAGTTTGCCAGTGTCTTGACTGATGCACCTTTTCTAGTGGTTTTGGTAACAGAGGAGGGAGACTTAGCAGGTCATTACCTGATACAGGGACGTGGTGGCGCTGTGGGCTAAACCGCAGAAGCCTGTGCTGCAGGGTCAGAAGACCAAGCAGTCGTAAGATCGAATCCATGCGACGGAGTGAGCACCTGTCGCTTGTCCCAGCTCCCGCCAATCTAGCAGTTCGAAAGCATGCAAATGCGAGTAGATTAATAAGGACCACCTTGGTGGGAAGGTAACAGCGTTCCGTGTCTAAGTTACACTGGCCATGTGACCACGGAAGATTGTCTTCGGACAAAACGCTGGCTCTATGGCTTGGAAACGGGGATGAGCACCGCCCCCTAGAGTCGAACACGACTGGACAAAAATTGTCAAGGGGAACCTTTACCTTTACTTTCACCTGATACAGGGGATGATTTCTTTCAGTTCCTGCCCCATTAGCATTAGTGGGATTTTTTAAGAGAGGTCATTCTCTTGCAGTATCAATGGGTTTTCCCCCCTACTCCGACAGCTACTTCCTAATTAAAGGTTCAGGCTATTTTTTCTTTGCCCTGATCTGGAAGCAGAAAGAAGGAACCATCTGAAGTGTTAGTTTCCTGTTTGGTTTGTGGATAGAAAGCTGCTTTTTGTTATAGCAATAGAGGGTAACAAGCACAATATCAGAAACTTAGTATGTGTCAACAAGTGCTACTCTTCTACATCTTTGACATAAACAATGGCTCATGCACTTATCTTACAGCAAACTTTCTGTAGCACATCTCAGTATTTGGTTGCCATGTTGGAGAACTAGGTAGGAGACAAAGTAATGCTTTCTATACATTGTGAGAGCAAGTAAGTGAGCAAGTCTCCATACATAACGTGCATGGTCTCCGACAGCTACTTCCTAATTAAAGGTTTAGACTACTTTTTCTTTGCCCTGATTGGAAGCAGAAAGATGGAACCCTCTGAAGTGTTAGTTTCCTGTTTGGCTTGTGGATAGAAAGCTGCTTTTTGTTATAGCAATAGAGAGTAACAAGCACTATATCAGAAACTTAGTATGTGTCAACAAGTGCTACTCTTCTACATCTTTGACATAAACAATGGCTCATGCACTTATCTTACAGCAAACTTTCTGTAGCACATCTCAGTATTTGGTTGCCATGTTGGAGAACTAGGTAGGAGACAAAGTAATGCTTTCTATACATTGTGAGAGCAAGTAAGTGAGCAAGTCTCCATACATAACGTGCATGGTGACTATGGAAGGTGCAGAGATTGAGGGAGTTGTCAGAATGTAATTACTTGCTTGTGTAGGGGGCTTAAACTACCTTGGATTAGACAGGATAGTTTGTGGTATTTTATTTTTGTACAGTACTTGGAATGTTTTTAGATCTTTTGTGAGTCATCTGGAATGCCTCAGATGAAGTAGAAGCACAGGATAGAAATAATTTTAAGAAAAATAAAATACATTTCTAAGATTTCACTTTTTATGGAGAGAGAGGACATGATACAGGCAATGTAACATAGCAACTCCAATACTGCTTCAAGCAATTGCACTACCTTCATGGCTTTTCTGCATCCAAAGAGGCTTTCCAATTATAGACCCCAGGAATAATAATAAGAATTAAAAAATGAGATAACCTTAAATTTGTATTTTGAGAAGTTCTTGGATCAAGTAGTCTTTCTATTCTAATAAAAATAAAAGTAAGAAATATAAGCAAAAATGGTGGCAAAGCCATAAAGAAAAGTATGAAGATGTGATGTTGGAATTAATCAGTTGAGTCTAGTAGTTTCTTCCTTTCCTGTGATTGTAGGGGCTGCATGTATATTTGTTTTTTCTGTTAGTCCTTTATTCCGCTTTTTGTTTCCTACTTTTCTCTGTTCTTAGTGATTGTTGCTTTACTTTACTGTTTGGAAGTTAACGGTTTACTGTGAGATTGATGATACTTGTAAGAGGTGAGGGAAGTTCCTTCTTGTTTGATATCACTTTGTGCTGAGCATCCTTCCTGGTTATGAAGCAAAGGTAATTCCTCCAAGTGAAGTCTATTCTGTCCTAGAATCTCAAAGAACTGAAACTGCCTATCATCAATTCAATATTTGAATTGTTATGTAAGATATAGCTCTCTCTTTTTTAAAGGCTCGTATTGGCTATGCAATATGCCTGAATATTGGGTGATACTTAATGAAGAAATTGAGTCTGGATACTAAGTGATTATACAATCTTTTTCATTTGTCTAGATTCATATACTTTTGTCTAGATGTGTATACTTTCCATTCTAAGGCTTATCCTGTCTCTGATTTTTAATCTTGTCTTTCTCTTCTGTATTGATGAATCAAAACCATATGGAATAATTGAGCAAAATCTTAATGGTCTGTTTTTAGCTTCAGCTACTCTAATCTCAGTGGTTTAAAAACTTTCTTTGGGAACTTATTGTCTCAATCTTTAAATACCTTTGATTCCTGCCTTGGCAGAGTAGCTGCATTGAAAATGCCAAAACGTCAGATTCTACTTTCTTCCCGCTTTTGTTTCCATGATATACTTGCCCATGACAAATTCAGACGACCACTTTGAGACTGAAATTGAGATGATTGCAAAAAATGAAATTTCTCTTCACAGTAAAGATTTTTGATTGTGATAATTTCAGTATTTGGAACTGGTAGCAGAACTGAGAGCTAGGTTTTTCATCTTTAGTGTGACTCCATCTCTAAAGCTGATTATTACAAATATACTTTCTAGTAGTTAGTTAGATATCCCCCCCCCCCCAATATAACAGAGCCAAGAACATATGTCATGTTCTAACCATACAGATAGAAGATGTAAATGCTGGCTTCTACTGCTTTAGGGTGTGATTTTGCAATCAAACACTAAGAATGTGAAAATTCATTTTGGTGTCTAGTGCATGTGACCCTTGCTATAGTTGGAGGCAGGGAGTGTGAAACCTTTCTGCCTATGGATCTCTTTTGGTTTTGAATATGATGTATGCATTTCTTTCATGGGCAGATAGGTCAAGCGTTTGAAATCAGTGAAAAATAAGTGGAATAAAATTGGAAGGAATACCTAAAACTTGATTTCTTATTGTTATCCCATAGCGTTCTCGTCCCCTCTCTGCCAGCGATGCTGAGATGAAAAATATTATGTCTTCAGCAAAGGAGAAGATGTCAGGAAGGCATGTTGGCTCCCTGCTGGGTTTATCCATGGAGGAGGTAAGGGAATCACGTACCATATCCAGCCACTAATACGTGAAGAAATGAAACCATTTGCTGACTTAAACCTTTTTACTACTAGATGCCTCTGTCTGCTGTGAACAAACTGAGTCTCACATCATATAGGCATAACAGAAATAAAAAGGTTTATTCTGTAGAAGAGAGCTGTCAAAAAACTGGCCCCCAAACTCGCTAGTCTTTGATTCACAGGGTCTATATGTATACTCCACTGTTAGTGAGGGCATCTCATAGTATTCTGTGAAGCCAGTTCTTGTCAGTACTATGGATTCCATTGCTCATTCTTATTCCAGATAAAGGTTTTGCGCCGTGTGAAGGATGAATATGAGAGAAGAGGGGGATTCATTCGTATATTCCCTACACCATTAACTTGGGACACTTACGGGTGAGGCAAAATTTGATCTGTCATCCTGATAATTTTAGAAGTCACATATGAGATAACAGATATATATGCCAATTTCCTTTCACTGTAATATACTATAAACCATTTCTTTGCACTCTAAAATTTTTTACAGGTACTTATACTTTTATTACAAGATATATCTTACTCTCTTCTCCTTTTCCTTCTCCTTCATAGAATAGTAGTAGTAGTATTTCCAAGTAGCTCCTGCTTTTCAGTACCCGGGAGCGATACCTCCCTTTTTCTGACATTCAGTGCTGTGTGTCTTCAGAAGAAGCTTTGCTGTTTTCCTCTGCTCTGATATTCTTTCATGTTTTTAATGGTGAATTTTATCTGGTTTCTGCTGTTGGTTTTTCAGATCCTTTTTGGAACACAAAACTACAATGAACTATATGCTGGCCACACGCCTTTTCCAGGAAAGGTATGGTAGTAGATCTTGGAGTATGAAATGGGCTGCAAGAAAAAGGCTAGAATGGGGATAGGCAAAGTGTGTGGCCCATAGGTCACATGCACTATCAGAGGGTCACAGCATTCCCCTCAGGCCTCTAGGACTGTTCATCTCCCCCTTAATTTTGGGTGTCAAAATATCAAAATGTATTTTCCAGAAGCCTTGTGGTGAGATTTGCCTTTATAGGCATAGCTCCTCTGGCTGTTTTAGGGATTAAAAAAGCCTTTTTATAACACCAGAAATGAAGTGTCAGGCAGACAGAAATGTCAGAAGGGTTTGTAGCCCCCAAGGTTGCCCAAAAGGACTACTTGGATCATCCGAATGTTGCCGAGATTGAACATTTCAAAGAATGTGGAATTGATTTGCTGGACCAGACTATAGCTGCCTCTACCATTTCCTTCCAACTGCCCTGCAAATGCTCCTGCAGTCATGCCACATTACAGTAACTTAAACTGAGTTTCATTTATCACTTTGTTAATTTGCCTTATTCACAACCAACTTATTTTGAGCTGTTTATGGAACTTCTGTGTGTCATCTGATAATTTGGCTACCTTGTTCAAGTCTGAATTCAAGTCACTTGTGAGCAGAGTAAATAGCACTAGCCCTGTGTGCTATTAAGATACTCTAAGCAACACTAGCCTCAGCGTATTCTTCTCATTGTTGTGAAAACTTACTATTCTTTGTGGGTTTATTTTAACTAGACTGTAAGAAGAGGTATCCTTTTATCCATTGATTGCTCAGTTTTCATAATATCTGTGTGAATGCTCTTTTTCATATGAACATTTAGGCGGACACAAAATATAAGTTCATAGATTCACTTATGTAGTACTGTATATACTGAACATTCTTCTATGTTGCTTGGCTGCAGTCGGATGTTCAGCTGTGTATGGGGGTATTTATGTATTTTAATACTTGTGTATGGAAATTGTATTTGCAATTTTTGTTAGAATGTTAACTTGATACAGCTTTTTGAGTTATATCTGCTATTAGAGCTGAGTATCAGGTTTTTTTCTTGGAACCAGCTTTCCCCGTCAATCTGGGGATGATGGAATTTGTAGTCAACACATTTGGGTTTCAGTGGGTTGGGCAAGTCTGCCATAGCATTATTGCCCATTCCACTTCTTGCTTTGTGTATGTTTCTCTGACATACTGCTTTTGGAAAGACAGCAACAGTTTATTTGCCTTTTGCAAATACCATTATAGAGTACCATTATAGAGTTCTGAAAGACATAGATATTGAAAATATGAAGATAACTCATGCCAAGTTAGATCATTGTTCTTTTCAATCCAGTGTATTTTTGTTGGTTCTGACTGATGATAGCAGCTTTCCAGATTTTCCAGCAGAGGTCTTCCCCCTCTCCTTTAATTGGAGGTGATAAAAATTGAACCTGGGATCATATGCATGCAAAATATGTGCTGTTTCAAAGAGCTGTGAGCTCTCCTGCTTACTTCAGATGATTAGGCTATTTCTTCTTTGAGAACACTGTGTCCCAGAGGCACTACTTGCTGATCCTTTTTGGAATGCATTTGTAGAGTGATTACCTGCCAGCAACAGTTCCACTGGTCTGAACAAGAAATCCATCCCACGTGTTACTGTGTTCAATAGAATATTTTTTTTTAGTAATAAAACCCAAGAAGACCTCCCAAAGAGGCAGTAAATTTTTATTGGAAAAAGTTTGACTGGCAAGATGGGAGTGCCAGTGAGACATTTTCCAAATAGTTGGAGTAGGCAGATTTTGTTTTTTAGATATCCAGAAGTAGCTGCTTTGGTCCAAGGTACCGTGCAAATGGCTTATAATTCAGAATTGCTTTGTGCTTGATTAGGCTGTAAAGAAACATTCTGCTGAACTGGTTTTGGCACTAGTTTTATTTTGGAATCATGGTGATTACTAAGGTAGACAAGTTTACAGAAACCAGATTGCCATAATAGCAAATTCAGTGCCTATATTGCATTTTAAATATGGCATAGTAGGTAACAGGCAGTGACAGAATCTGCAAGCTTGGAATCCTCAAATTTTTGGAAATATATTTGTTAGGGAAAAAGAAACAGTAAAAAGGAGAACCCATGACAAATAAGCCTATTCATTGGACACAAAATAGGGACTGTGGGGAAGAAACTCAGATGGAAGGTAGAATGGGATATCATGGAAGAGGTTACCTGTCTGGCACTCATAACCAAAATCACTCCACATACCATTTTTGGCCCTTCCCATTTGTTGTTCAAGATGGTGAATTCCAAAATGATAACTGAGGAAGTCCAGTATGTATCTTCGGAATGGATGAATGGGCAGCAAAAAGGCAGATGAAATGTAACACAGGTAGATATTAAGTGATGAACGCTGGCTGTGTGCGTATACATCCTGCCATATGCAACTTACTGTGACTATTCAAGTAGGAGATTAGTGGTTCTTCATCGTGGTCTTCTGTGAATGCACACAAAGGGTTAATACCAGTGCCAGCGTTGGGCCTCTCGGAACATTCTCTAGCTGCAAGAGAAAAGTAACAATGTTTAGGACTACCCCTACTGCGCACGCCCAGCCTAACCGTCCCTCAGTTCCATTTTTCCGCCTAGCGGTTTGGAGCCTCTCGTCTTAGCTGCGTCTATTGCGAACTGATTTGATTCCTTGGTTTTGACCTCGCTTAGCTCACGGACTACCCTAGCGGTTCTCCCTTCAACTAGACGACTCGGTTTATTCTATTTTCCTGGCTTTACTCGGACTGATTACGGACTGCTCTGCTTTCTCCCTTGAACTAGTCGTTTCGGTTTCTCTTACTGCCCTATGTCCCCTTCCGGGCCATTCAGCAGGTGTGTGGTGTGCGACCGCAAGATTCCCCACCAGGACGGCCACGATACTTGTCTGTATTGTTTGGGGGAATCGCACAACTCCAAAACTTGCCCACATTGCAAGGCTTTCACTAAAGCCGCTCTTAAGGCTCGCCAGCAGCGCCTTAAACTCCATCTGTGGGAGTCAACGTTGTCTTCCACGGCGCCCTCGGAGGGGGAAATGGCTTCCACTTCTCGAGCAGCTCCTGTTCAATCGGTCGTCTCCAAAGTTTCGAAAATGTCGAAAAAATCCGCGGCCTCGAAATCGGCCGCTCCGGGAAATTGGAACATTGTTTTATTTTTTAAGTGTCCGGTGGTAGCTACTGCTACTGAAATGTGTGCAACATGGGGGGATATTTTTATTTTATTTAATTTTATTTATCTTATATGCCGCCCACATGACCCAAAGGTCTCTGGGCGGCTTGTTGTTATTTAGTCATTAAGTTGTGTCCAACTCTTTGTGACCCCATGGACCAGAGCACACCAGGCCCTCCTGTCTTCCACTGCCTCCCGGAGTTTGGTCAAATTCATATTGGTAGCTTCAAGGACCCTGTCCAACCATCTCATCCTCTGTCATCCCCTTCTCCTCTTGCCTTCACCCTTTCCCAACATCAGGGTCTTTTCCAGGGAGTCTTCTCTTCTCATGAGATGGCCAAAGTATTGGAGCTCAGCTTTTTCCAGTGAGCACTCAGGGTTGATTTCCTTCAAAACAGATAGGTTTGTTTTCCTTGCAGTCCAGGGGTCTCTCAAGAATCTCCTCCGGCCCAACAATTCAAAAGCATCCATTCTTCAGCGGTCAGCCTTCTTTATGGTCCAGCTCTCACTTCCATACATCACTAATGGAAAACCCATAGCTTTGACTATGCAGACCTTTGTCGTCAAGGTGATGTCTCTGCTTTATAAGATGCTGTCTAGGTTTCTCGTTGCTTTCCTCCCAAGAAGCAGGCGTCTTTTAATTTTGTGGCTGCTGTCACCATCTGCAGTGATCATGGAGCCCAAGAAAGTAAAATCTGTCACTGCCTCCATATATTCCCCTTCTATTTGCTGGGAGGTGACGGTTTTCGAGAGGTCCAGGACTATCAACAGAATCACACACCCTCTGTCTCTGTGTCAGTAAAGGTCATTATACAGGGTGACCAAGGCAGTCTCCATACCAAAGCCCAGCCTGAAACCTGATTGAAATGGATCCAGAAAATCCGTTTCATCCAGCAGCACCTGGAGTTGCCCGGCCACAACCCTCTCCAACACCTTGCCCAAATAAGGGAGATTCGCCATTGGTCTGTAGTTAACCACCAGCCTTGAGTCGAGGTTAGGCTTTTAAAGAAATGGCTGAATTGCCACCTCTTTCAAGACGGGAGGGACCACTCCCTCTCTCAAAGAGGGAGTTCACAGCCTGCTGGACCAGGTGCAAATCTTCCAGTTAGCCAAGATTTATTTTATTAATTTATTTACAAGATGGGCAAGGGTCGAGCAAAATGGTGGTAGAACAGACAGATCCAAGCACCCTGTCCACATCCTCAGGTCTCAACAATTGAAACTCATCCATTAGTACTTGACCTAAGCACGGCACACTGGATGCATCCTCTGATTCTGCACTAATGGTGAAGTCCAACCCACTCTGAATCTGAATGATTTCTCCCTCAAAATAAATGGCAAACTTATCGCAGTCTGGGACCTCCACCGGATTTCCTGGTTGGACCACCCGAAACAGCTCTGCTGGACGACATTCTAAGAAAGCAATACGGCTGGAGAAATATTGCCATTTCGCCAGCCATATTGCCATGAAATAGGCCTGATAATGGGCTCTAAGTTGTGTTCGATTAGACTCCCAGTGGGATTTCCTCCACCTGCGCTCCAGCTGTCTCCCCTCTCACTTCATAGCTCATGGTTCAGAAGTATACCAAGGAGCTGTCTGGGCTCTGTGTGCAGGGAGAGGGTGCTTAGGTGCAATTGTGTCAACCACCTTGGTCATCTCCCTATTCCATAGGGTGGCCAGATGGATAATTCCCCAGAGCATTCAGCAAATCATCTGTATCCATTAGTCTCTGAGGGTGGATTATCTTAATAGATCCCCCCACCCTTGCAGAGGAGAGAAGAAGCTAATACACTAAAATTGACCAGGAAGTGGTCTGACTATGACAATGGGGTC